GGTAAAAAAAATAAGTATAATTTCAGGTACATAAAATTTGCAGAAACTTTAAAACACTGAAATTCTAAAAAAATTTTCCAGACATAATAGAGAGAATGTAAACAAACTGGGTGGGGCATCCCGTTTTTTGAAAGACCGCTCGCCGTTTAAACAAGTTTTGGTCATTTGAAATTTCCGTATTAGCGGAACGTCGTAAGGCGAAATGCCATAAAGCAGGGCCCTACTGTATTTGATAATGTATTACCTGGAAACTACTCTAGGGATTGGTCCCAAATCTGCGCACTGCCATAAAAAAATGGAGTGAGAGATATGGGAGGAAGTGTAAAATAAACCCAGTGAGGTGTGGTGGGGACAATAAGGGAACATTGTATCAACATCCAGGGTCCCACACTATTCAGCATCTTACAGAGGATATCAGAAACATGGCTGGAAGAAGTGTAAGAAGCCTTCAAGAGGAATGGACAAGTATCTTCACCGGGTTTGCCAGATCAATAGGCGGGTGATGGATATATGGGGCAGCAGGCCTCTAGCAGCAACATCCTGGTTGACCAGGAACCATGGGCAAGCCTGGCCCATGGCGAGGCTCCGAAAATGGGTGAAACTCTCAAAACTCTTCAAAGGTATATCAAGGGTAAGATAAAAGTAGAGATTGGATAAAATGTATTGATTTCATTAATTGCATTCTGTGGGTGAGAGGTGGGAGAGCATTAGCTCCACTTGTATACACTGCATCCTCTTACCTTGCCACCCCATCACACATTATATATCCATAAAAATGAGTGACTGATAACACATATAAAAATTGTCGGTAAAGATGCAGCCCAAGATTTGGTGGGAGTGAATCAGAGAGAGAGGGGAGAGAAAAGGCAGGAGAGAGGGGGAGAGCATGAGAGCAGGAGAGAGAAAGGGAGGAGAACAGGAGAAAGGGCGAGAGAGTGGCGCATTCCTACATGAGTCGCCTCATTCCTCCCATACCACTTTGGGCAACAACAGCAGCAGTGAGTAAGTGGAAAAAAAGATAGGAAGCATATTGTGTTATACAGGCAGGCTCTGCTTATACAGCAGGTTAGATCCTGGGCTACTGCTGTAAAGTGAAACATAACTTTTTTTTCTTCACTTTCAAATGCATATAAAAACCTTTCCCATGGATAATTAATTAACAAGTGCACAGTAAATAAACAATGTTTATTAATGCAGTACAGTATTGAATAAAAAGTTTACTGAAGTTACATGTAGAATATTATGGCTTGGGGATGACTCTCCCCTTATCTCGTGGGTCTCTGTGGGAAAATAGGATCAAAGGGGTTATGATGCCCAGTCGCAAACCGGGTCACGGGGGTGTTTACCCCCGAAACCCTCTCCAGGTATAATCTAGGTATTAACATACCATCCAGCTTTGTGTTTATTTTCCTAATTTTTTTGTTATCAACAAATTTTGTTGAAAATAAGAAAAAGTTTTGGAGTGAGATTAACAAGTTAAGAAAGCCTAGAGAACAAATGGATTTGTCAGTTAAAAATAGGAGAGGAGAGTTATTAATGGAGAGTTGAGGTATTGGGAAAAATGGAGGGAAATTTTGAGGAATTGTTAAATGTTTTATAAGATAGGGAAGCTGTGATTTTGTGTATAGGGCAAGGAGGAATAACATCTTTTGAGTGAGAAGAGCCGTTGTTAGTGTGGGGAAGTTCGTGAGGCAGTAGGGAAAATGAAAGGGGGTTTTAAAGGGAGCCGGGGGTTGATGGTAAATAAATTCTTTTTTTTTTTTTTCCCTTTTTCTTTTCTTCTTTTCTTCTTCTTTTTTCTTTTTTTTTTTATTTTTTTTTTTTTTTCTTCTTTTCTTCTTCTTTTTTTTTTCTTCTTCTCTTCTTTTCTTCTTTCTTCTTCTTCTTCTTCTTCTTCTTCTTCTTCTTTTCTTCTTCTTCTTCTTTTCTTCTTTCTTCTTCTTCTTTTTCTTCTTCTTCTTTTCTTCTTCTTCTTTTTCTTCTTCTTTTTCAAAAAGTGGGCCGTCTCCCACCGGGCGGGTGAAAAAAAAAGAAAAAAATCCCCAAAAAAGAAAATACTTTCATCATCATTCAACACTTTCACCACACTCACACTTATCCTTTTTTTTGCGAGGTGCTCAGAATACAACAGTTTAGAAGCCACTAAAAAGAACAAACAATCCCCCCCAAAAACTGCCAATACCCCAAAACCCCCCTCCTTTAAAGTGCGGATTGTACCCCATTTCCAGGACTCAAGCCGGGATATAAAAATAACGGGTTTTTCCTAAATTTTTTTTTTTTTTTTTTTTTCAACAAGTCGGTCGTCTTCCATGGGAGGGTGACCAAAAAAAGAAAGAAACCCCCAAAAAAAAATACTTTCATATTAAACACTTTCACCACACTCACACATTTCACTGCTTTTGCAGAGGTGTCAAAATACAACATTTTAGAGCATATACTTTTTAAAAAAGTACACAACATACCCCTCAAATCCCAATACCCAAACCCCTCCTTAAAAAGGCAGGCATTGTACTTCCATTTCCGGGGACTCAAGTCCGACTTAAAAAATAACCGGTTTCCCTGACCCCTTTCACTAAATTTACCTGCTCACACTCCAAAAAGATGTCAGGTCCCAAGACATTCGTCCCCCTTTCACTCCATCTAAAGCTCATGCACGCTTGCGGGAAGCCCAAGCCCCCCCCCAAAAAACCCCCTTTTCCCCCCTTTTTCCCAAACCCCTTTCGAGGAGCCCCTCCCCCTTTCCCTTCCCCCTTTGATTTAAGTTTTCCACGTCATTCTTTTTGTTCCATTCCTCAAAAGACCAAACCCACCTCAAAACCCTCTTCGCCCTCTGACAAATGCTTTTTTTAAAACTCCACACCCCCTAATTTTCCACACCCGAATTTTCGCAAAATATTTCCCCCACATTGCCCTTAGACAGGACACTCCACTCCTCCAACCGTCTCCTCGCTGCGCATTTACCCCCCAAGCTTCACATCCATATAAGAGGTTGGTCTACTTTACTTTTATACTTCCCTTCTTTGCCCCCCATAGATAACGTTTTTTGACTCCACTATACCTCAAGCACCACTCCCCTTTTTTTCCCCTCATCAATTTGATTAACCTCACCCCTTCAAAATCATCCGCCGACACGTCAACCCAAGATCTGAAAACATTACTTCTTCCTACCCCTCCCCCCCCTTTTTGAAAAAAATTTTTCTTTTATAAAATTTTTTGTACCCCATCACCTTCTCTTTCTTTTTCACTTTCAATTTCTCCCTTTTTCAAATTTCCCAAAACTCATCATAACCTTTGCAATTTTTCTTT